AGTACCTTTAAACAATGTTTATTCTCAAATATTGATGGATAATGTTTGAGTCATGCTTGTGTGTAATCAATCATTCACTCCGCCCATGTAAACACTCTATTTATACCTTGGCATCGTCATTACACCTTAAATGTATCATTACTGCTCTCCAAGACATTTGTCTAGATTCAAAGGCTGGAAAAAAAAATTACGAAAGTAATCACATATTTTGTTTTCTAAAGTAAATATTATGTCGATTCTAGAACGTACCAGAGGAAACATCCACAGCATGAATAACCGCATCTTAAGAAAAACATGCTCACGTATTTAAGTTTATTCTTGTAAATCATAATGCAAACGTGAATAGGAAAATGACACCATAAATAAATATAAGGAGCAGATATTGTTATAATTATTTGTGCTTTGAAGTTCTACTGTACATATGTACTTTTATTTACCATGATAGAAAAGCGATTTAGTTTGATGTGTATATAAACAGCAGTTCATTCAAGTTTAACCCATATACATGCAATATTGTGCAAAAGCGTTTACTCTTAAAAATGATATTACAAACATGATTAGAATTTGCATTTTCTTTTCTTTTTTAAAATCTTTATATATCAATTTGAAATCCAACTATTACATAAGTCTGTGAATATTGATGTGCATCCCCTCTTTCTTTTCTCTTCTTTTTTCTGTCTTTTCCCCCTTTTACCAATATTTTGTTCCTCCATATTTGTATTATTATGTATCCTTTGAGGGTAGTCATACTATCAAGCTTTGCTTATTTTGTCAACCCTCCTGTTTGATGTTCTCGATTAGTTACACCCAGCTTTACTTTATTCTACATATATTCTTTTGTCATGTGTAAATTTGCAATATTTGTTAGTTATATATTTGTAAAAATGCAAAAGAAAAAGAAAATCAAACAGAAATAAATAAATCAAATCAAAATCAAATCAAATATGAAATATAAGAAGTATTCAGAATCAAGATATTGTTACAGTTGATAGAGCTTACATTGTAGTTTCTTACTTCTTATTTTTTTTAAATAATACTATGCTGCTAAAAATTCTGTGTATACGAATATAATTCATACAATGTTGTGCGATGTTGTCATATCAATACGCCATCGCTAATACATGATGAGTTATAAATGAATTTCGAAATCGCCAATACATGCATTTTCCTATATAGTTTGTTTGTCTGTTTGTTTTTCTTTTGTTTTACAACATAGCGGGCTTCACGCTCTATGCAGTAATAGACTGCCATGTTTAGTTTAGTCAATGAGATTTGTCTCCGTGGCTTTGTTAATCACTGTATACACGCCTATTATTACCAACGATTATAAGAATTCAAGATTTCAAGTTTATATTGTTTATATTTAGTACAGATTTCCATTGCCATTGGTTTGCCTGATTGTCATATGTTTCATCCTCTGAACATTCTCAAAAGCTCACAAGCAAACCCTTTTCTTCTTCTTTTTTTCCCTTCAAACTGAGGAGACGTGACGATAAGATTGATACTGGTGCATTGATCGATATTCCAAAGTCCTCTTTCAGCACTGAATAAAAAAGAATGATGGAGATCCGGTGGAGATCAAAAACCGACCAAGCGAAATGATCCGTCATCTACAAGTTACTTATAGCTCCACCTAAGATCCATTGATCCACATTTATCTATTGAAAACATAGCAGTGGGAAAGCTTGTAATTGCACTATATAGGTCTATCTATTGGCTGAAACCAACAAAATTGATGGAAAGACAATCTCAAAAAATTCTGAGAAACCAACTCTTAAGGCAATTTCAATACCACATCCACAGAAATCATGTTCGACCTTGCGTAATCATGGTACCTGTACATGTCATGCGTCATTCTAATGTCCGCATATTTCTTCAGATGATTCACAAGGCTTGCCTTCATGTTCAACTACTTTTCGAGACTTACCACAATTGCATATTCGCCGCGTCGCCCATATAAAAGTATCCGGATGTCATTGTGGATCTTAGACCAGGTAGCAGACATGTATCTCCTTCACCAGAGAGACTGATAGGTATGATGCGATAGCAACGAGCTAAAGGGCAGTATGATCCCAATTACATCACTCACCGGTCGATATATTAGTAGATAAGGAAACGGAACATACGCCTTCAAATACCTAATAACAATCTTGCCAAGACCAATCGATTGTTTATGTCGAAATTATCATTATAATGGTCTGTCGATGCAAGGAGTTCGAAGTACATGTACACTCTAAGTGATCACGTCTCTGTGTTCAGATATATCACCCCAGTAGTTAAGTTGTTTATTTTTCGTATTTCTTCAAAGCTGACGGACACTAGGCCTATTTGTTCGATCAACCGCAGTGTGCGGGGGGAATTACAGGCCAATTGTTAAAAGTATTGTTAAATAATTGACCTTTGTCCAAAGTGACTGCTAAATACAATCCGTAATACAAGTGTCGTTTAGCTATTTTGTCTTTTTGATTAACATGTTTACAGCAATACGGCATAATTGTCCCTAGAAAGATAAACCGAAATCACTCTTTGCTTTCCAAAGGACAAAAAACCCACATAATGGAATATAATGTAATAAGAACATAACTAACAAACGATCAAACAAAACTATACTTGCCCTACAGCAAGACTGTACTACAGATAAAAAAATGTTGGTTGCTTTAATACTTAACCTACCACTTTGAATTGTAACATTATTTTTTTTATGGGTGACATAATATGATTGGATTGTTCAGATTTATTTAGACCAGAAAAATGTGACATTATTATCCTTAAGAAGAGTACTAATTTCTTCAACTGTCCTGTATACCGGAATATCATTATTGATTTACCAATAGAAGCCTGTATACCGGAATAAATATAAAAATTAATTCAACATGTGTAATGTGCAAGGGCGTTTAACTATTACTTTACGACCTAAATATAACTCTATTTCCTTTCTGAAAAAAGGGCAAACAAAAACATAATGGAATTCATCACCAGACTCATGCATATCACAACATGGGCATTCTACACTAATTGCATTAAAAGTTTCTATGAATCTGTTATTATTAATTGGTAAACAGTGTGACTAACATCTAAAACGGCTCAATGTTATTCTATTTATTTTACTGAGCAAAACTAAATACCTTTCAAAGAGACAATCATTTTTTAAGATCCTATATTGTTCTCGGGGGGTAATTATCCGGGGGGGGGGGGGGGGTAATTTCCCAAGGGGTAATTGTCCTTGGGGGGGGGGGGTAATTGTCCTCGGGGGGTAATTCTCCGGGGGGTAATTTTCCAGGTGGTAATCGTCCTACGGGGGTAGTTTTTCGGGGGAATTTTCCGGGGGGTGATTGCCCAGGGGGTAATTGTCCTGAAACGGTTATGTAGGTAATGACGAGCTTGCAACCTATTTTGATCAAATTACGGTGGGTGAACTTTCAAAAGTCAATGGGAAATGAGGGTTCCAATGAAAGAGCTAGTGATAACGTACGTCCGGGTGGATGTGCTTTTCGTTTAAACAATTTTTTTTTTTAACGATTTTTTTTTGTGTGTAAAAGTCCATATGCCTATCGTACACGTTAGGCAGCTGGACTCTGCCGATAGGGGGCGTTCTCAAATGAGACTAAACGGAGCTATATGGTGGGGTCGGGGGGGGGGGGGGTGTTCCGTCAATCCTTCCCTTTCAGGGCAGGTCCTTGTTCTTGTGCCTGTGCAAGTCCCCCATTAAAAGGCAATCCAACCCTTGTAATGAGTTGATTGGTATGAAAGCAGAAACAACAGAAACAGATTGGGAAATATTTGTAATTAATCGAAGCAATAGTAAGGAAGTTATGAATGTTGAAAAATATGGGATCACTAAGTCTATGCAAATCTGAAATTGGTATTAAATATGGAAAGTGGATTTTGACGTAGTACTTGGATAACTCTCCCATTTGCCGTGTACAAAATTATCACTAATTTCTGCTTTTCTCGTAGGTGCCTTCTCTCTCGGGGAACTACAGAAACTCAAAGGATATTGTAGATAGCATATTAATATAGGTCCTCTAAAAGGATAGACCCTCCTGAGCCGTAAACTTTTAAATTGTTTAAATTTAGTCATTTTATATGTTGAAACAAATGAGAAAGTAGTCCAGCACTACATTACATTAACACTACCGCTTTAGCCAATTTTAATTTCCCATACGTATAGTGACTACAGTTTTCACAAATCCATATCTCTGTTATATTTAGTCAATTTTGTAATTGAAACTTTCATCAGTTTGCTTCTCAGATTGTTCTGCTTTCGTTTAGAGTAGTTGTCTATTTGGGTTGGATTTCCCTTTAACAATATATGTGCATTTTTAATGTTTATAAATCAGATATTTAAAACACATAACAGATAATTCCCTGTTATTGAATATAATCTGATTTCCTTCTACTCTAAACATGATAAAATGGGTTAAATCGGCTGAGTATCTTTTTGTATACTCATTAGATAGCATATATTGGTGTTGGCGTTGATGTTCAATTACTAGGTAGGGGGAAACTTAGATTTAGGAAAGATCAACAAATCAGATTTTCTTATCTAATATATTCCCTTATTTTGTCAAATCATAAGACAACAGCAAATATTGATCTTGCTCTAGCTTTTCCATTTCGTTCAAACTAATTGCCAATCAGGGAAACAGCAAAATGCAGTCTTGCTTGCAAATACATCAATTCAACATTTCGTCATTAAAACCTGAATAAATTTGAAACATTACTGTACTGGGCACACAACTCATGGTATAACATTTACAAATGATGTTGGGCAAGGCATCAATAAATCATGGTGGATGGGACCAGCCACAATGCAATATTTGTGCACGGTTCAGCCAATCTACCAAAACATTTGTCTAGGGTTCCCGTCTTTAGACTACGATTGTTTACAAACTAACACACCACGCATGCGCTTTGAGCAACATGCTGGGAACCCCCCACTCCTTTTTAAGGTGTTGTAAGTACACTGTATGTACAGGACTGTGTATGTACGTGTAAAGTTTCTACAATGTTCCCTTTTAGTCTTTCAACCAGCGTTAATGGAAGCAGCTCATTTATTTAAGATATACGCAATTGGATCTTGAGGGTTCCACAAGGACACCAGCACCACTACGAATAAAGGTGAGTGAATTCATATGAAAACTCGGAGCAACGATGTTAGTCTGGTTTCTCGACTAATCCTCTCCCTCGCCTGTTGCCTTTCGGTTGAACATGAAATCATGTTAATCAGTCAATGAGGGGTATGGGATCGGGACTGGTTATGGTGGTGCTGATGGTGGCCGTAGTGGCTGGTGAAGATCCGACGTTGTCAGTGGCGGTAATCGTGGTGCATGATGCTTATAGCTCAGGCCTGATAGTGGTATTAATGTACCTAAAAATGGTGGTGGCCGTGGTGATGGGAGTGGTGATAGCTTTACTGTGCACCTGATGGGAGTGGTAGTAATATGATCAGGGGCGTACGCAGGGGGGGGGGGGGGGTTTGGGGGTTCAAACCCCCCCTTTGGTATTTTTATGTATGTAAACCCCCCTAAAAAATCCTAAACCCCCCCCCCCCCTTTTTTTTTTTTTTTTTTTTTTTTTTTTTATTATTAAAAAAAAAAAAATGGCCACGGCTAACCTAAAAAAGGTGACCTTACCCCCCCCCCCCAACGAAAAAAAATGTCAAATTTTCAAATTTCAAATTTCGAGACGACTACGGCTGAGCCGTTGCGATTTTTTTTGACCTCCAAAAAAAAAAAAAAAAAGTGTCCGCTTACCCCCCAGACCCCCCCCCCCCCCCCCCCCCCACTGAGCGACTTTTCGGCCGGCACGATTTTCAAATTTTCGTGAGCAAAATATTTAAAAAAAAAACCCTTGAAAAAATCCTGCGTACGCCCCTGAATATGATAGTGGTGGTGGTACATGGTGGTGGTGGTATACCAAGTATATCCGTTTATGTTGGTGGTATAGTGGTGATATCTATACCGCAGTACTGTACACCTGATGGGGTGGTGGAGATGATGGGAGTGGTATACCATGATGGTGGTGGCGCATGGTAGTATATCTATGCCTATGGCGGTAATATAGTTTGATGATAGCTGTACTGTACCCCTAATGGGGGTGATATTAGTGGTGATAATAATAATAATAATGATAATAGTGGGTTCTTGTATAGCGCTCATGTCTGTCAGACTTGACACTCCCGGCGCTGGTGATGATGGGAGTGGAAATACCATGATGGTGGTAGTGATTGTGGTATATATCTATGCTAATGATGGTGGTAGTGGGGGTAGTAGTATTGGACAGGTGATGGGTTAGTGGAAGTATAGTTGTGATGCTAGATATGATGGTAGTGGACCTAATGGGGTGGTACTTAAGGAAAGTCCAGTCCAAAAATAACTAACTTTCAAATAGAAGCAGAAAAATCAGACAAACCAATCAAAGAAAGTTTGAGCAAAATCGGATACTAATATTAAAGAAACTTATGAATTTGTAATGACAAGAAACACTTTGAAAACTACAGTACATATTGGCAACTCACTCATAAGTCTGTGACGTCATTGCCTCACTATCCACTAATTGTTTTCTTTATCTTGATAAATTAAATTTCCAATTTTCCTCCTAAAAATCTAATTTCCTCACACCAGCTTCCAAGTTATAATGATAATAATATTCTTTTAGTGTGGATGCACAAGTATGGAGGTTTTTCAGTTAAATCATGAAAAAAGTGAAATTTCATGAACTATTTATGCAAAAATCAATGATTATGAATGTACAATATTTAAAAAATAGTATCAATTCTTCAAAGTTCAATTTTGTTGTTGAAATGTGATGCACGCAATATAATGGGCAAAACCATGGCGAAATCAAGTTCTGGGGGATAAAAAGGAAAATTGATGGGATAAAAATATATAAAGCAGATGGTAAATAGCGAGGCAATGACGTCACAAACCTTTAACCGAATTGGCAATTTGCGAAGTGATTTTCTAAGTTCCATAGTTTTTCATACTTAAACAAAATTAATAACTTCCTGATTAGTTATCCAATTTTACTCGATTTTTTCTCTTGTTTTTCTGCATCTATTAAAGTAAATTATTTTTGGTGTGGACTTTAAAACAATCTGAATATTGGCGACTAGTTAAGATTTGTTCAAATTCAGAAGCTTAATTGCTAAGCTACTATGCTTAATTTCAGAACTTAAACTAAGTATCCAACATTGCAACAGCAATTATATGACTTAATTTCTTCCGGAGGGAGTCCAAAGTTCATGAATCTCATAGCCCGAGCTTCTGGCTATGAGGCCCTGTTGTAATACCAAATATAAAGTTTGAATTCTTTTGTCACTGATTATGGCAATCGTCGGTGAAGTTGGGCTTTTATGCAAATAATTACTCTGTATAAGTGCATCCACACAAAAACATATTACTATCAATAAAACGTGGATGCTGTGTGAGGAAATAACATTCTGAGGAGGAAAATGGGAAATTTATATTATCAATATAAAGAAAACAATTAGTGGAAAGTGAGGCAATAACGTCACAGACTCATGAGTTAGTTGCTATTTTTGTGTGATTTTAAAATTTGTTCATGTCATTAAAATGTAACTTTCTTATTAGTTATTCGATTTTGCTCATTACTTGTTTGATGGGTTTGTCTGATTTTTTTTGCTTCTATTGAAAGTAAGTTATTTTAGAGTGGACTTGCCCTTTAAGGGAACCAGACAAGCATGACACATCGATTCAAGTAAGCCAACTGTTTACATGATTACATTATCTACTTCGTACATTATCACCCAAAAATTGTTATGGAAATAGGAAACAAACTGGACACGAAGAAATGAAAGAGTAAGCTGTGGAGTAATATTCATGTATAATGCCTAAACAGAAACAGATTGGAAAATGTTTGAAATTAATCAAAGCAATAGTAAGGAAGTTATACATGTTGAAATATACGTGTTATCATTGGTCCGATTTATTTAAACTTTCGCCATTCTGTTTTTCTTATGTTTCTGCTTTCATAGAAGATGACATTATTAGCAGGGTAGCATTTCCCTTGAAGTATACTATCAATCGAATACTGATCCCCCGAGATCCGATATATCTCTATCTTTTTCCAAGGCAAAGAGTTCTCTTCTTGTTTACATGCATTATACTAATTTACCAATCATAAAAACACCAACATTTGGTGCATTCCACATTATATTGGACTTTGATCAGGAGGATGTATGAATCGTACTGATACAAAAATCACGATAACAACACAGTTTCGTGCATTTCATATTCTATTGGACTTTGGTCCGGAGCGTGTATGAAACGAACATTGTTGTAGAATCTACAACCATGTTTATTTGATATCAGATATCATTCTTTTGACGACTTCAGTGATAAAAGCACTTTAAAACCAGTTCTATTTTTAGGAGCGCTAGCCTAATGCATTGTAACTAAGACATTTGGTTTTTCACCGTACCCGCAGAAACGGAAGTCTTGAGTCAAAATTAGGGAGTTAAATATTAGTAGATAACACTTTATTTGAATTCATTTGCGTTGGCTCATGGCATAAGGGAAGGGCTGTAATCCATTTTTTTTTCTTCTTGTGATTAGGAATTAGGATACATACATGAAGGGGAGGGGATAGTACATGATCCATAAACCTTTTCGCTCTTGCGTTCTGGTCATATTCCCCCCTCTTCTTTATCAATTATTGTTACCCGCTCCACCCCCCCAAAAAGAAGATATTATGACCGAAATTAAATTGAAATCCAAACGTGAACAAATATTATTGCTGTGTGATTATCAGCAATTTATTTGAATTATGTCATATGGCTATTGGAAAAATTGGTAAAGGTTAGCCCTTTGAATCATTAGGGTTACCGTTAGCCCTTCGAAGCATTAGGTTTGCTCCTGCTTGCAAATGACTCTTGACTATCCGATACTTTCGGTAGTAACTGTAAATTACCTGGCATGATTTCTTTTAAATACCAGTGTTTTTATCCCGCCCCCCCACTCAGTGTTATTAAAGGTACGCATATGCGTGTTCCCAGCAACCCCCCCCCTTTCAGCAAAAGTCCGGTGTGTAAATTCAATACGGGCAGACCTTTTTCTTTGTTACGAGCCGGAGATTTTGGGAACACGCATGCAGTCCCTCCGTTCTCGGAGTGGGGGGGGGGCAGGTTTTTTAATCTGTCAGAATATTTAAAGGTAGGCGTTACTACTGCAGCTAGAAGGGATTAGACCACACAGCGAGCCAACGAGGTCACTGTGACAGATGGCTATCTCATTAACTCAGCTCTCATTTAACATAAGAAAAAGAGGATCATGGGGGACCAACAGGCTCCAATTTGGGAAGATTTCTATATAGAGGGAGCAAGTAGCTACAAGTAGGACAGTGTGCCTTTAAAGTTAGAGGTAAAGGGTATTATCATTCTAATTTATTAAAATCAATATTGTTATAATTGGAACGTGTTTGTCAGTAAGATCCTCAGGCGAGGTCATGATTGCTTTGAATGTGCGTGAGGTGCTATAATCTAAAATGATTCCTCATCTACTGGTATTTGCGAAATTCGCTCGTCATTATTGAATGTATGCTAGTCCGTTTTTTTTGCCACGCTTTATATCCGCAGTTTTATTTACTTTAACTAAACCATTGTTATCGACTCATTTTGTTTCATAATGATATTCTCTACAAATCCAGACAATTTGAGAATATTTGTTTGAATGGGATACCCCTAACTTGTGTGTGAATCCCTTGTTCCTGGTGCATAGGGGTTGAGAGCTAGGTCCCCTATTGCGAGGGCGGTACTTCCATCGGCTCAGGTGAACGTTAAGTCAGCAGACTTCTTGTTATTTTCCCTGACACCGATTGTCTTCATCACTGCGCTCTTCAGAAGGCACCCGAACAACACTCCTGTTCGTGTTAACTTAAAGTGGGAACAATATTTTCTTATATTTAAAATATCATCCCATTAGCTTCGAAAATATCTTCTTGAAATGATGATGATGATGATGGTGTTTGTTTGTTGTTGTTGTTGTTGTTGTTGTTTTTTTTTTTTTTTTTTTGGGGGGGGGGGGGGTGATCTTTGGAAAAGTGTCTCTTAAATGAGATCCTCTTTCACGTATTGATACAATGTAAGTGACATTTTGCTATCAATCTTTTTTTAGCGAATCTGGGGTTTCCAACAGTTTTAAGCTCCCTGACACTGGTTATCTTCACCCCCGTGCTTTACAATTGAATCCCACTCCAGGTAACCTCACGATGGCGATGAAAGTGGGAACGAGGGTGGTTCGAGGTCCTGACTGGAAATGGTCAGACCAGGATAATGGCGAAGGACACCTCGGCACCGTGGTTACCATAGGAAAGGAGATCTTGAACCCAGCACATCAGAAGATCGTGGTGGTCTGCTGGGACATGGGCAAGTCTGCTAACTACCGGGCCGGCTTTGATGAGAACTACGATCTGCTCATCTACGACACTGCTGCCGCAGGTGAGACGGTTATGACTCAATCGCAAAGGATAAAAAAAGAAATCAGCCTAAGGCCATTTCAATGTTAAAATTATTCATAACCTATTGAAAATTTGCGAACAAAATCAATTACATATTACATAGCACGACGATAATTTATATGGGATACAACATAAACATTGATTATTACAGAAATTACAGTTGGAGCACATGCATTCTTTGAGTGATTGGAATATGACTTTTACTTTCTTTATAGAAAGGCTTAATTACAAGGCTACAGACGAGTGCAAGAGGATGTCTACGTGTCTTCCTTGTATTGTCCTTTCCCTCTTCTCCCTTGCTTTTTCCTCGCTATTTTCACCACCTGGGAGGGGAGGGGGGGAGTTAGACCATATAATTATGACCAAGCCTTTTAATGTCCTCTTTATCCGCAGGTGTGAAGCATAATGGTGTAATGTGCGATGAATGCAAGGAGGATGATATTGCCGGTATGAGATGGAAGTGCAGCTCATGCTATGACTATGACCTTTGTAACAAATGCTACATGACATCCAAGCACGACCTGAAGCACTCTTTTCTCCGAATCATCATCCCCAAGTCTGCAGGGTAGGATCATTCTTCTACAATACCTCAGTCAAACCACCTGACCGACTCGACATTTCGGTGGCAGCGTTAATTTTGTTTTATCGGTTTGTAGTCGGCCCATAGTCTGTTTGGTTTTGACCAGTCTTTTTGGTCTGACCGAGATGTTACCCACACTGGCAAAAAATCGGTCGGTTTGGACTCGGTTCATTAGTACGACTCAGGTTTAAAGGGTAGTGTAATGTTCTGGTCGGTATGTCGTCGGTCTGGTGACGTTCCTGTCAGACTGACCTGGGTATATTCTTGGGTCTCAAAGCATGGTCTTGTTTGCTTTTCTTTTTAAATTAAAAACTTGATTCAGCTGCAAAAAAAATCCTGATTACATGCTATTTTATATTTTAGTAATGTTGCTAAAAAGAATTGGATGACACTTATCCAATGACTTCGATGAATAGTGACACAGTTATTCAAACCGTAGAAGGAGTACACAATCTATGACGTTAACAACAGAATGTTCAAAATTATGATTTTATTTGTGAAACATGATTCTTTGTTGAAATGTTGAGAAATGGAATAAAGTTGTGAAAATATAGAAACAACACGAACACTTCCAATGCTGTCAGTAGTATGATGCTCCATTCTTTTCAAAGTGTATAAGATTATATTTTGATTGGTTGCTTGATTGGTATAGAAAGCTGATGCCACCTAGAGCATCTTGTCGGAAGACTGAAGCAAAGGGATTGTTTCCTGGAGCCAAGGTTTGCAGAGGAAGAGACTGGCAGTGGCAGCAGCAGGACGGTAAGCTCGTGCATCTTTAGCCGCAGGTTATGACGCTGTAAACCGCGGTTTTTTGTTTTAAGATGACGTAGATGTAATGAGCTTCATATTTCTATATCTTATAACACAGAGCTCACTGCAGATGCATAGGAACTTTGTTGCGCCCAGTTGCAATTCATTTAAACATCATAAAACTAGCGCCGCGGTTTACCGCTTCATATCTGGACTTCCCTTTACATTCCCATATATTGTCCCATTATTATAAACCCATTTCAGCCTGCAGTTAATGTGATTATCAGCAAGATTGGGTAAGTTTCTTTTCAGTTTGCTCATTCCAAAAGCTCACAGTATGCATCTTCCGAAGAGCTCTTGTTTGATCGAGTGCAAATCTTTTTTCATGCAATATCACATTGCTATCGTCTCTAATCTTCTTTAACTGATGCTTTGATTTTTAAAGTTGCGTATACAGGATCACATGCTGGAATTTTTTGCCAGTTTTAGATTATTGAAATAATGAATTGAATGAAGTGAATACATGTTGAAAACGTTCTGTACAACCAGTGATATGTGAGTAAAAGTAGTAATACGTAGTCCTATAATAGTCTGCACATATTTTTAAAATGACTTAAAGCCACGGTCACAAATGCCATTACGAACTGCTAATAACGCCGTACGAACGATTGTCAGACAATGAAAATTCGGAAAGACAATGGAAAAACAGGTAGATTCGTACGAACATTTATGACCGTAGCTTTATGTATACAAGTAATCGAAGCATACCTTCTTCATCACATGCATTGTATTGATGTTAGATTAAATAATACTTGCAACAGGTGGGTCAGGTCATACTGGCGTCGTAATTCGAGAGGCCAATTGGGCCAACATCCAGCGCAGTGCCATAGCAGTTCGTTGGGATGCTGGGGGCGCCTATGAATACCGCGTGGGTCATGATGGGAAAGTCGACATCAAGTGCCTCAAGGCAACATCCGGGCTCGCTTACTACAAGGACCATCTCCCAAAATTTGGTAAGTTATCTGTGAAAATTACATAAGTTTGTGAGTGCCTGGGAATCTTTATTGTTAAAGTTAAATATTCACCGTCGTTAGTGTCTAAAAAAAAAAACAGATAGCCAGAAAAATATGTTATCTTTTTAAAATTGTGTTACTAGTCTCCACAAATTAAGTTTTGCGGTTTAAACATTTCTCATTGGTGCTTGCATTAGTGCCATGAGTTAACAAGTAATTTCCTTTCCGTGCACACGGCCAGTTTATCCACGCGCGCTCAGGAAAAACATTAAAAGCCTCGAAACAAGGAGTTTCTCGATTTTCTGTTACTATAGTAATGGTACTGCACACGAAACCATCGCGCTCGTAGGAAAGTCAGACCGCAATGATTGGCATTGTTTGGCTGTTTGCATGACAAAAACAGAAGAAGATTCGACGTATGGCACTGGATCAAAGTTGTACAGTATGTGGAAATGATTATTTAATGAAGTAGCATTAGAAACGTAACTTTATTTTTCGACTGATGACGGATATTTTTGTGACATATTGACTTCAGCAATTTATAAAGCTGAAAAACAGGAGATTTTTTAAATTATGACAATAAACATTGTTTATACTAACATAAAAGATAACAGGGATTTCACTAAACAAGATTAGCATTATGAGGGCTTCTAAAGAATAATTTCTTTGTTACAGGTGAACTTACCGCATTAGAAATTGGTGACCGAGTGGTTGTGAAGTTAGATAAGGATGTTCTCCAACCGCTCCAAAAAAACCATGGAGGCTGGGTGTCGGGAATGGAAAAGGTATGATTGCTCTTATATACAAACATAATATATCACGTGCTATTTCATTTGAAAAAGGAGATTAATGCCGGTTGCACACGATCGAGGCGTCACTTTCGATTGCGTAATTCATTGCTCTAGTCATGCCCATGAAGGCAATGAATTCACTAGCCAGTAATGTAACGCAGTATTTGAACTGGCCATTTCGCAATCAGTTTTCACGAAATTCCGTCCGAGATCAGGCAAGTCCCTTACGCAGTCCTGCATCGGCCTATGGCGCCTCGGTGCAAATGACAAAAGGAAAGAAGTTTACAATGCTCCTTTAATTATTACTATGGCTTCTATCGTTAGATCCTCTTGCTTTAATTATCCAGTTCTCTCTTCCCTCTTGTACTTATATTATACCCTGTTTCGTTCATCCTGGCCCGCCACTCCTTCTTCTTTCTTTTTTACCTTTGTGCTGCTTTGAAATTCTAATGTCATCGTGCAGTTTGATTGCACCAGTGCAATCATTCATTCTTTCTCAGATTGTAGTTTTTCTAAACGATGATTATCAGGGATCTTTAAAAAAAATGTTCCCTGATATTTTCGTCATTATATTCATGATTGCTTTGTTTTGTAAAGTTTTTAAATTAAATAGAAAAAAAGTAATTAAGTAGAATAATTCTTTAGGAATTTTTACTCCTTCGTGGAAGTGTCGAGTCTGTAGGTCGTATCAGTTAACGTAATACATTTGTTTATGACCATAACCATGGTAAATAAAAATATATTGATGACAACTGAAAACCAACATTTGACTTTAATTAGAACAAGGATATCGTGGATTCAGAGCCATAATTGGGTGTTGACTATTATGTTGAAGTAAATGCCTTTCTGGCTACAATTAAACAAATAATGTTCTTTATACAATTGATTTTCTTTGACACCGTACCTTTATCACGCGAGTCTACACTTACAAATCAGGCCATTATGTGCTCTCGCTCTCCCTCTCATTCTCTCCTTGTTTTCCTAGTTCATAGGAAAAGTTGGCCGGATGGCGAGTCTCACGGGAAACGGTGACGTCAGGATCAAGTACCCAGATGGAAAAACACTGATTTTTAACCCTGTTGCGGTCACTAAGGTATTAACACATGTGTTCTTTAGCCCTGGTACCTGAAAACCTGAAAATAGTTCATTCCCGTTAATAGGAAATATTTGATTGCGTTATTATACATACAATACTACTACTAGAAGTAGTAATAGTAGTAGTAGTAGTAATAATAGTAGTAGTACTAGTAGCAGTAGTAGACTGCAATCTAGGAGTGATGGAGAAATTCACCTGTCTTGGCTCCACCATCACTCAAAACCTGTCCCTCGATGGCGAACTTAATGTACGCCTTGGTAAGGCAACTGGAGTGATGGCTAACTCTCAAAAAAGGCGTGTGAGAACATTATGCTGACCATAAACACAGAGATGAAAATATCCCAGGCCTGTATGTTCAGTACTGTTTGGCAGTCCGTCATGGACATGTACGCTGCCTTTGACGAGAGCTGTGCATCAAATGGCAGGACCATGTCCCAAACAAAGATGTCTTCTAGCAAGCAGGTATTCCAAGTTTGTTTCCATCCTTGCCTTAGATGGCTCGGACATGTTAGCCGTATGAAGATGGCTCAATCCCCCCAAATATTCTCAATGGGGTGCTAGCTAGAGACACCAGGCATGTTGGGTGATCATTCTTATGGTTCAAGTATACCAGCAAAAGCGATATCTGGAATGCCCTGACAGAAATCGGAAAAAATGATGACATGTACTTATCAAAGGGCAAATACATTCCAAAAATAACTTACTTTCAAAAGAAGCAGGAAAATCAGACAAACCAATCAACAAAAGTTTGAGCGAAATCTGATAACTAATAAGAAAGTTATGAATTTTTCATGACATGAACAACTTTAAAATTCACAAGACAAATTGGCAACTCATGAGTTTGTGATGTCATTGTCTCACTATCCACTAATTGTTTTCTTATAATGATAATATAAAGTTCCTATTTTCCCTCTAAGAATCTTTTTTCTTCACACCAGCATCCAAGTTAGATTGATAGTAATATGTTTTTGTGCGGATGCACTAATATAGATATTGATTTTTTTCAGTTAAATCATGAATAAATGTGAATTTTGATAAACTATATCTAAAATCAATAATTATGAGTTCAATTCAAATAGTATCAATTCTTCAATACGGGCTGGCATACCACCAGCTCAGTTCAGACGAGATGCGCGATACACTAAGCTTGCCCAAAAGCATGACAGAGATAAGTGCCTTGTTCCTGCGCCATCTGCATTTGAAGGACAGCGTCTCACTAGGGGACACTTTGTAACACAGGCTGCTGAGCCGCTGCTTGAGTTGACACCCTCCACCTTACCCACTTGGATACCAACTTGAAGGAGTTCATCCCAAAGTCCTGTGCAAAACCAACTGGCAGCGACCTATCAAGAAAAGCCTGGTCAACCTCAACCGCATCAGTACTGGAGTTGGCCGTTCACAATATTTCCTGCATAAAATTGGAGCTGAATCATCACCAAACTGTGCCTGTGGAGATATCCAAACTATGGATCATGTCATCGATAATTGTCCTATCTACAAATCCCCTCATGGTGCTTCTGAATTTCGAAAGCTCGATGATGAGTCAATCAGTTTGCTAAATAAGGATCTCCCTATCTAGATGATGTACTCCCTGATATTCTTTGTACGAACGAACGAACAAAAGTTCATAAAAGATTTTGTGAAATGTCATGCACGCAATATGATGCAATAGCCTGGGCAAAGGCATGGGGAAATCAAGTTCTTGGGGATAAAAAGGGAAATTAATGGGATTGAAATATATAAAGCAATTGATAAATACCGAGGACATGACGTCACAAATTGAATTGGCAATTGGTGTAGGGATTTCCATTTTTCCATGGTTTTACGCACTTTTTCAAAAATTTCTTATTGGTTATCCGATTTTGCTCAAACCTTTTTTCTGCTTCTATTGTAAGTAAGTTATTTTTGGAGTGGACTTGCCTTTTAAAGATGGGTGTACAAAGGAACGAGAGGAAGAGAGTGGAAAAATGGAAGGAAGAAAAAGGCAGACATGAAATGCTTAGGTCAGCACCATCACGGCAATCAAAACTTTTTTGCACCAACTGCCAGAAAGTGTGTCTTTCAAAAATAAGACTAAACCGTGCGTATCAAAAAAAAGTATACCCAACTTTGTTACTCCTAATTAGAAAATGATAATGTCAATAAGTAAGCAATTGTTTTCATACTAAAAGAACACGCGCGTTTAATAAGGCTTTTGACCCACTTTCATTGCCTCATTGGTCACACTTAGTACAAGAGGATTTTGACAATACACACCACATGTACTTTTGTTTAAAGACTACTGATCAGTCATCCGTGAAAGAAGAGTTATGAATGCGGTATCATTAGACAGAGTATGAATTAATTTTTACCATGAACTATACTAATAGGGTCACAAAAGTTATAACTTGTTGATTAGAAGCTACACAAGATTTTTCATACATCCACATCAGGAGGTACAAGTAAGCTACATACCAGACAAACTCTGTAGGCGCAAACATAAAAGTAGTAGTAGAAGAAGTAGTAGTAGTAGTATACAGTAGCTTCGTCGTCGTCATCGTAGTAGTAGTAGTATACAGTAGCTTAGTCGCAGCAGTATAGTAGTAGTCGTAGTATACTGTAGCTTAGTCATTGAAGTAGTAGTAGAAGTTGGTATAGTATTATTATTAGTATACACTACCTTAATAATAGTAGTAGCATCAGCAGCAGTAGAAGTATTATTGTCATTTTAATTTAGTTTTAAAAAAAAAATCAATATGTTCTTCTTGAAGCTGCCATCGTTCAACACCGGGGCCAGAGTGCGTGTAATGTCTGACCAGGCTGTCGTGAAAGAGCTGCAGAAAGGACATGGGGGATGGAACAGTAAAATGTCAAAGGTCAGATATTACTGTACAAATAAATAATTGTTCATTATTAAGTAATGAACAATTGTAATGTGCACAGTAAATAAAAAAAAAAAGAACTTCCTTGGTAAATGTCTCTAATTTGTACTCAGGTAGCTTTAAGAAACCACTAAGCTTCAGATGGTTTGCTGTTACTTTAAAACCCTGTGCCTAACATTGGAAGTACTAGTCCTGTAGAAATTGTTCAGACCTGGAAAAGTTGATAAGTACAAGGTTTTTTGTTGATTCATGTTCTAGATGGGTATTGAAGTAAATTCAGCTTGGTTGCCAGCTTGGCAACCTTGAGGAACTTTTTTATAGCCTAATTAGCATAATCATCTAATTACCATATGTGCAATATGTAATAATGTTGCTAATCTCAATCCAGGAAGCCTGAAAACATGGATATTACGACTTTTTAAGAGTTCTCTGTGACAAGGAATTCATTTATGACACCAATTTTTATTTCTAAGTAATACAATAGTCTTAAATAGCATAATTAGCATATGTACAAGATATGGACTTCATTGTCATTGTTTATCTATAAAGCCTAAAAATGGTACAATGTAACATTGTAAATCACTTTTAAAAGATTAATCATTATTCATGAGGAGATATTCCATGTATATGTATTATAATTAGCATAATTAGCATATAATATGCAGTATGTAATAATGTTGTTAATCTTAATCCAGGAAGCCTGGAAACATAGACAGTGTGATTTGTCAAGGATTTTCCATGACAAGGAATTCATTTATGACACCAATATTTAATTTGGAGTAATGCAATTGTCTTAAATAGCATGATGAGCTAATTAGCATTATGTACGATATACATGTATGGATTTTATTGTCATTGTTTATCTATAAAGCCCAAAAATGGTGCAATGCAACATTGTAAATCACTTTTGAAAGACTACACATTAATTCATTAGAAGATATTCCATGTAGATGTCGTATAATTAGCCTAATTAGCATATACACTGTATGTGCCATAATGTTGCTAATCTTAATACAGGAAGACTAAAAACATGGATGATATGACTTTTCCGGGGTTTTCCATGACGAGGGATTCAGTTGTGACACCAGTTTTTATTTTTAAGTAATGCAATTGGCTTAATATGTAATTATTGTACTAATGCCTAATTAGCATATATGTAGAATATCAATTATTTGGGACTCTACTTAGCTTCACAAATTGTATGTCCAATGTGGTGGTTATCTTGGTCTTAAGGCAATGTTGTTGAACCTCTTGAAATGTCTAGGAAATGACGGGGTCACCATACGCATTGATGGTTGGGCTTCAATCATTGGATTTAGAGAGACTGTCGAAAAAACACTGAAGATGGTTAAAGCAGATGATAATGATGAAATTGATGTTGTGGTGAGACAGGTACGTACATAGGCCAGGGATGTTGAATACAACAGTGCGAACTATGATCTGTCTATGTTTACCAAAGCCAGAACCATTGAGAGGACAAGCCCGACGTTGCTCAAGCTGGTGGCAGAATTCCCGGAAAAGTCATATTATCCATGTTTTCAGACTTCCTGGATTGAGAGTTATTTAGCAACATTATTACATATTGCGCATATTTGCTAATTGGGCTAATTATACTACATCTATACATGAAATATCTTCTCATGAATTAATAATTAGTGTTTCAAAAGTGATTAACAATGTTGCATTGCACCATTTTTAGGCTTTATAGATAAACAATGACAATGGAGTCCGTGTACATAATATGCTCATTATGATATTTAAGACTATTTACATAAAAATAAAAATTGGTGTCATAAATGAATTCCTTGTCATCATACAGAACTCTTGAAAATCCGTATTATCCATGTTTTCAGGCTTCCTGGATTGAGATTAGCAACATTATTACATATTGCACACATGCTAATTAGATGATTATGCTAATTATGGCTATTAAAAAAGTTGCCGAAGGTTGCCAAGCTGGCAACCAAGCTGAAATTACTTCAATACCCATCTAGAACACGAATCAACAAAAAAACCTTGTACTTATCAACTTTTCCAGGACATGTACATGGTCTATGGTACCGTCTACTGGACTATACCTATTTCATACTGAACAAGAGCTAGAGATATAAAGATGAAGTCCTGAAAAATCCTTTATGTCTTTGATTACGTAATCATATGTAAATCAAGTATGTGCATTACTATGTAGTTTCCGGAAGCATTCTTTTTTAAAATGACGTTTATCATATTGATCTTTATCTTGTATGGAATACATAATTATAGGTAAATTACTATTTATAATCCGGTTTTTAGCACATCCGACCATTCTGAGTCACTTAAATTTAATACATATGGGGGTTTTCCTTTATTTATAAGCGACATTGTTTTATTATCTCATCATTTTTTTTTTAAAGAAACATTGCACTGGTGTTTTCGAATTTTGCATATGTTCATCATATTTTGGGAATAAATTCTTTGACTTGGTACTCGTATGCTGCCTATGAATTTTTATTTTTTTAAATAGAACTGATAAAAGCAAGCACAATTAAATTTTAATTGACTCGTATCCAGGCTCTTGGTGAGGAAGGGCGTGTCCTTAACATCGATGCAGATGGTGATGTCAAGGTCAATGTGGGTGGAGCATTCTGGACCTTTAACCCGGAAGCACTAAGCCTGGTAGAACAGGGGACGGGGTCAGAGGGCATCTTTGAGCAGGACATCAGAGCAGGTACTAACAGTAAAGTAAAATGTAATTTAGTGGTAATACAAGTTATTTTTGCTCTAAACGTATATGTTTACCTTCATGTATCACTTTATTATAAAGTAATATTTCCTGCCTAGATCAATTTGTAGCAAATTATGTGTTTATTTTGTTTTATTTTAACTCCAGCTTAAAAAATTGTTTGTAAATGTGTTTTATAATTCACATATATTTTAGAATGTCCATTAAAATCAAAATACTTATGGGCGTAGCATTCCTAAAAAGATGATGATTATAAGTTTTCACCATCCATTTCAGTAGGCCTGTTCGTTGTCTTTATCTCCTCAAGAGTATTTATCTGAATTTATATGTTATATGTTACATTTGATATAGAAAATGGCGTACTACAAATAATAAAAAATGGATAAGTAGGGATGAAATTGGCAGGATAGAGATGAAAAGAGCCTTTTGTCTGGTATTCAACCTACAGGTATGTCATGTATGCTGAATCAGAAATAGTTTTTGTTGAACATAATATCAAAAACCTTTAAAAAAAAAAATCAATTTACGGGCAATTTCATTAGCCCGGTTAATTGCCTAGATAAAAATCATGTTCGAATTAGTGTGTCATTTTGACGTTCGGAACAACTCAATGGGTGACGTACACAAAACTTATCTTTAGGCTGTCTTCTTGAAGGTCTATGCTATGCTGTCGTTGATACTTCGTAGGTAGGTCTATAGCATGTTGCAGGTTTAGAAATAGAGCAAAGTTCGAGAGTCAAAATAGGGCATCATCTAATGACCGATGAAATTTCTGTTGTAATTGTCTTGCAGAAGTGATGGCGCATTTGCTGACGCGGCTGCTCGATCCGCTTGGGCTCCTTGACTCAGATGATATTCGAGAGATAGTAACTGCTGCTGCAACCGAAGGAGCAGCTAAGGATGAAGAAGTAACAGCTCAGAGTGCCAATGAGTTCTTCAAGGCTGTTATGGAAGGCGATGTGAAACATGTCGCTGAAGCCCTCAAAAAGAACAAAGGATTTGTAAATAATTTTATATTTTGTATCGTAAAAAGTACTTCATGGTATATGATTTATCATTCGCAATGTGCAACGTCATATCAAAGTATACATTGAATTTACATCGAAAGGCAGATTATTTCTTACTGATTATCATTGTTGTAGGACTACCGTACATGGATAGTTTGGTTCTTCTACAGATCCCCCCTAAATCACCCCTTTCCTTCTCTTTATTTCTATCCACTGTCATATGTTTGATTCCACTCTTTGCATAGGTAAATGTGGATGTCAAGGAAAACACACCCCTTCATCTAGCTGCTTATCAAGGTCATCTTCAGATAGTCGAGTTACTTATCAAGAATGGAGCCAAACTCAATGTCAGAGATGACGAGGGTGACACTGCCCTAGCAAATGCTGTCCTTCAGTGAGTTCACCAGTCAATTTTGTATCATCATCATCTTCCCTGTCACAGCACTAATGTCCTTCGACAAAACACTAATATATGTTTGCCACTCTTCATCCAGGTGAAATAAACAGTTAGCCGGTAGGAAAAGATTCATGTAATGCTTGAGCGCCATATCATTGTTGGTCGGGTAGAGACGAAGTAATGATACATGTATGAATAAATCAAATCTAATCAAATGAAATCATACTAAACAAATATGATTGCAGCAGACAGAACGGTATTAATGCCAATACGTCTACGCCGGGCAAATGATACAGCAACATATTGTTATTACCATTCAAATAGGTCATCATTTAAATTAATAATCACTACTTGAAGAAGATGAAATCTATATAATATTTCATATTATTTCTCTTTAACGATCCATGTGATGTCCTGTGTGCTAGGTAAATTTTTTATTTATTTATTTATTTATTTATTTCTGATCTTTTGACAGGGTAGCCCATTCACCAGCAAGTAGTGGTCTTCCATGGGGCCCTGAATGAACATATTTACATCGTTTATAACATTTATACAGAACAGTTACAAAAATAATACTCGTTTGCAAAATTAACATATATCATTAACCTAGTAAGCAGTAATGTCAATAGGAAAATATTAATTAAGTCGCAATTATGTGAATAAGACATGTAAATATTACAGAACATGCACGTAGTGTATGTACGGCTGAGCCATTCACAAATTACAACTTTGTTTAAACAATCTCTTAAATGAATTGACAGAGGAAGCCGTTCTCAACGAATTATCTAGCTTATTCCATTCAAATATGGAAGAAACAATTGGGCTACACTTATAACAATCAGTGTGAAATCTAGGCACACGTAAACATCCACTGTCTATTTGCCTTGTATGATGCTCATGTACATCATTAGGATTGATTAAGCCTACCTGAAGGTAAGAGGGTGCTAAGTTATGAACGCATTTATATATCATCATAACGCGACTTAACTCAAACCGCTTGTCTAGTGTCATCCATTTAAGACTTGTGAACAAATCAGCCGACGGTGTGTCATATGTCTTGTTCAATATTATTCTTGCGGCCCTCTTTTGAATTTTTTGCAGCTTAGTTGTATGAGAATGAAATCGGTTCGACCATACAACAGAGCAGTAATCTAATCGTGGCAACACTAGACTGTTATAAAGTAACTTTAAGGATTTTTGAGGCAAAAAACTCTTTGCTCTCTTTATCATGCTAATGTTTTTCTGGGTAAGTTTACTTACGTTTTCGATTTGTTTAGACCATTTCAATTCTTCATCTATCAAAAGTCCTAGGCATTTGGTGAATTGAACTCTTTTGATCAAATTGCCGTTTAATGAAATGGTGAAAGATTCAATTTTCTTGAGATTAGCAGGAGAGCCTATTAACATGACACAAGTTTTTTCAGTGTTAAGAACAAGACGATTTTCCTTAATCCAAGCCATGACTCTGTTTAACGCAACAGTTAATTTTTCTTCCACCACAGTTGCATCATTTGCACTGACGGTAAGTGTCGTATCGTCAGCATACATATCTATGATACCTTCAGGAGTACATTCAGGTAGACTATTAACATATATTGAAAATAAAAGGGGACCAAGAATTGAACCTTGTGGCACACCTAATTTGATGGTTGATGGATGCGACTTGGCTCCTTTGAATTGGGTCACTTGTTGTCGATCCCCTAAATATGATTTGAACCAATAAATAGTCCTACTACTACAACCTATACAAGCTAGTTTATGTAGAAGTAGCTCATGGTCAACAGTATCAAAAGCCTTACGAAGATCTATGAAGGCAACTCCAGAAATTTCTTTGTTATCAATATTCAACGACCATTGATTTACAAGTTTTGCAAGGGCAGTAGCTGTTGAATGTTTAGGTCTAAAACCAGACTGATTAGGGTGTAATAATTTATTCACGTCCAAGAATTCACTGAGTTGTTGGTGGACGGCCCTTTCTATAATTTTACTCACGATAGGTAATATCGAAATGGGACGGTAATTATTCAAAGAAGAAATATCTCCAGATTTGAATATTGGTACTACCCGAGCCTTTTTCCATTCACGTGGAACAACTCCTGTAGACAGGGATTTGTTAATGATATCACAAAGAGACTCTGCGATAACATTCTTCGTCATCTTTAAAAGTTTACAGCTGATGTGATCTTCACCAGTTGCTTTATCTATACTCAGATTATCAATCTGTTTCAATACAAAATCCTCAGTAATCAAATTCAAATTAAATTGCGAATGAGTTGGACCAATATTATTGTCCTCGTCTACTCTCAGTTGAGACTTATTCCTTCGCAGGTCCTTTGTAATCTTAGTAGCATTAGAAATGAAAAAGTCATTAAAAGCTTCAGCAATATTTGCATTGTCTGACACATTAGCACCATCAACATTTATGCTATTGGGAGATATAGGTAATGACTTAGGCACAAGGTTTCTCAAACATCTCCACATTTGCTTACTATTGTTATGATTTTGCGAGATCTGGTCTGCATTATATTCTCTTTTTCTTTTCCTCATGAGATGAATAACTGTATTCTTTAGATATTTGTAGGTGTCCCAAAGATCATCACTTTTGTTAGCTTTAGCAGCTTTGAGAACTTTATCACGTTCCGTCATAAGCTTAACAATCTCGTCAGATATCCATGGACATGCCTTTTTTCTTATCCGCTTTTTACATACTGGTATGTGCTTGTTGATTATATTATTGAATAGAGTCAACCACATATCCCACGCAACATCAACATTATCTATATCTTTTATGACCTGCCAAGGAGTACTTCTCAATTCACTGTAAAATTTCTCCTCGTCAAGATTTTTAAACGAGCGAAATTCTGCGTATTCGGATTTGTTATGGATCTTTGCACTAAAATCGCGAACCGTATACACCAAATAATGATCACTTATGCTAGTTTCAAATATTCCCCATTCATTGTAAAGTTCCTTGTCTGATACAAATATCAAATCAATTAAAGTAGAAGAGGTATTTGTAACTCTTGTGGCAGTATCAATTAGCTGACTTAACCCGTACATATTTGTATAAAACATTAACTTTTCAGCATTCAGATCAAGTTGGTGTGGCATACAATCACAATTGAAATCACCTAAAATAATACAGCTCATATCTTCCGAGAGAGCAGAGTCCAAATTTCCGTCTAATTCTTCAAAGAAATCAACGTGAGAATTTGGAGGTCTGTAAAACTCTCCAACCAGGATGGGAGACTTATTTGGATAATGCAATTCAAACCAAAGGCATTCTAAAGTAGAAGAAATCAAATCATCCCTTCTTTTATAATTGAACCTCTTGGATATATATACAGCCACACCACCACCATGTCTCGTACGGTCTCTACGTAATAAAATATAATCATCTATATACAATTCAGAATCATCAATCATGGAGTCGCAAAATGTTTCATTTAAACCAATAACATCAAATGATGCATTTCTCAGAAGTAATCTAAGTTCGTCAATCTTAGCAACTAAGCTATGAATATTCAAATGGGCAAATTTTAAGCCCCTGTTTCTAAACGGAGGAACTGAACCACCTTCCAACTGTTTAATGTTACTCTTATTCAGTTCATGAGATTGATCCTGAAGATTATGATGTAGTATGCCAGTACCAGAGACAGAGTTTAACTGCATGTTGCCATGACGAGACGTAGATGCTCGTTCCACCCCTGTTGAGCTTTTGTCAGTGGAAACATTGGAAGAGCAGGTGCAGACTTTAGCCTCCCTCTCGGAGCAATCATCTCGAAATCCTGCGTTGAAGATCCAACAACTTCAGCGTAGGACGTTTGCTGAGTAGGTGTAGGTGGCCCTCGAGGTCGCTCAATAAAGTGGCGTAGATTAGAGGCAAGAACAGCTTGTCCTGCCTTATTGATGTGGACCCCATCTCTGCCAAGGTGCCTGTCACCAATGTTGTCGTTGTCAACGAAACCCCATCTCCTTTCACGGGCAGCTCTTCTCAATCGCCCATTAACCCCATCGACACTGCGCCTCTGGTGAACCGATTCCCATCTGCGGTGTATAACACCAGACAAGCATACATCACAGCCTTTCGCTGCAATCACGTCTGCTAATGCTATGATGTCATTGGCGGTTGATGTACTACCATTACCTTTCGACAAGTCATTTGACCCGACATGTAGAATGACGTCTCCTTTCGCCTTTACACCCTCAGTAGCCTTCTTAGAGGAGATATCAGCCACCGTTGCCCCTGGGTTCGGATGGCAGACTACTCTATGTTTTCGGCTCAGGAGTCGGCCCTCGATGTGCTTGATCATCGAGTCGCCTTCGATGACAACATCTGGTAGCTCAGACAAGCGGCGTTGGCGATGCCCTTGTCGGAACTCTTTGGTTTGGTCGCTCGTCGACATCGAAGTCGAAGGCTTTGCGTCAGTGCCTTCGAAAACAGCAGCAGGTACCTCCAACAGGCGGCGCTGGCGGTGCCCATCTCGGTACTGTTTCATCTGGTCGCTCCACGACATCGGAGTAGGAGGCTCGACGTCTGTGCCTTCAAGGACAGATTCATGTAGCTCAGATAAGCGGCGCTGGCGATGCCCATCTCGGTACTCTTTCATCTGGTCACTAGTCGACATCGAAGTAGCAGGCTCAGCGTCAGTGACATGATTATCCGCAAGGACATCGAACTTATTCTTCGTCGGGACGGTATAAACAACTCTTGAGATAGTTCCCACTATCTCATTGAGATCTGTTTTCTCCTTTACCAGATCAGCACTATCGAACTTAGCTTCAAGATGGATAAGCCTGTCGGCTAGTTCATTAACTGACGACAAAACTAGATTGAATAGGTCATAGAGATCAGCTTGCTCAGTATTCGTCTCCTGATTTCTTTTGTCATTACTCGCTTGATGGATATTGTCATTGATTGCACTTTGCAGCCTATTAACCAAAGTTTCTTTTACACCATTTTTATTTAGACCACGTTTCTGCAGTTCAGCTTTGAGTTCCTTCACACGGAGACTTCTTACGTTAACGATGGTCATTGTGACGTCATTTAAAATAATTGTTCACCTGTTTGCTGAAAAGTACCGCGTTAACATCAGTGCGTAATATACTGAGATAACTCACTAGCGCACACTTGCGTTGTATCTTTGCGCTCACTTGCGCTGTATCCAAGATGAATTCTGCGTAAAGTGTTTATATTGCGCTTAATGTTCAAAAATCAAGAAAATAAATATTTAAAAAATTGACCAAAATAACAGTATAAAATGGCCAAAATCTTTAAAAGTCTAAAAATTTGTGAAAAATGAATTACACAAATCTCACCACTGTCCTTTCGTCGTCAGTTTGGTATAAAAAGTTTCCTTGAGTCCATTATTTGGCTGCAGAAAAGTGCATTTTTCAGGAGCTCGCGAAAAACACGTCCATCTCAAGAGAGATATTATAGAGGCTTCTATGGCCGTATTGGGGAGCCATCTGCTTCATGTTCAGTCTGCCTCTGTCCAAGTTTTTAATGAAAGTGTTAGTCAACACACGGTTTCCTAAATGGATGCACTTACACACGATGAAAGAAAATCCTAAGCGTCATTCGTTCCAAAATTATGGAAAGACAATTTGGGCACCTTTTTTAATGTTGAGTGAGGGCATTAGAATTAATACCATATCAAATTAAAGAATATATTATCGATCATCATACCATTATGTATTTCAGCAATTTGACTTTGTTTTCAAGATATAAGGGCTTAAATACAGGTTTGTCCTTTTACTGAGTCTTACTGTATATTTGAATTTATTTGGTAGAGATAATCAACGAATTGTGAAGTACCTGTTAGACCACGGGGCCGACCCCAACACTAAGGATGTCGAGGGAGGAAGAAGTCCTCTTCATATCGGGGTGTCGAAGAACCATACTCAGTGTGTGAGACTCATCCTTGGAAAAGGTGGAAATCCAAATGCACAAGTAAGATATATTTCATTGTCTCAACTTATGTCGCGATGCTGCACGACAACATAAGGATTTTTGTTAATGCTACAAAACATTTCAACCAAATTGTATTACACTACTGAATCCATATGTGTATTTATCAGTTTTGATTACATTGGAGAAACAAATAAAGATTTATCAAGGTTATAGGTATGTAAAATCACATTGAGAATCCCAAAACAAATTTGTTATGAACAAGAATTAGACAACTCTCTGAATGAAGAAGTCTGATGTAAGTCCACACATTTATATTGAGTTCATGTTATTTCGGAAAGAAACTGCCCAATGAATTTGAGTTGGTTGGATACTAAAGCTCTGTGCTGTATCTATGCATGCTTATAGACGCATACTTGCTGTGAATTTGTGTTATGCAGGACTCTAATTATTTACTTGACATTAGAGTGGTACATTACATTCTGGCATTAGAATTCCAATTGTTGGAAGAAATACGAAACATATATAATTTCAGGACAATGTTGGAGACACCCCTTTGCATGACGCCATCCGGAGAACACAGAAGGAGATAACTGAGCTCCTCATAAATGCTAGAAACATCGTCTTGGAGTTGAAAAATAAAAGAGGATACAATCCGCTACATCACGCTGCCCTGACAGACAATCCCCAGTGAGTTTTATAGATTAAGACTCTAACTATGCTTCACAGTGTAACACAACAAAGATTTAGATTCTACGAATGATATATATGAAGGATATTAAAATTGACATTGTTTGAGCTAATTCATTTAATATCTTCATTTATGTGGATTTTTCTTAACTTTCGAGTAATTACAAATTGCAGAATTTAATAATATTTTCGACATTTCGACATTCGACTAATCTGATCCAAATGCTTCAAGATTTTTGTCAGTGGTACGTTCAAAAGATTGTGTATGTATGTTGGACTACCTTGCGATAGGGTTATAAATATGATTTTCTTTCCCCATATGTTGTACATTACATATATTTTTATATAATGGATCTCGTATCCAGAAACACTAATTTCAGATATACTAAGACTTTTTGTATTGTAATTTAGAACCTTAAATCTGTTTTATTTGTTTGTTTAGTGCTACTCGTCTTTTAATCAAGAAACAACAATCTCTAGTTGACATCCGGAAGAATGATGGCTACGCGGCTCTTCACCTGGCAGTTCTTAATAACCATCGTAATATCTCAGAAATACTTATCACTGAGGTAATTCCCATCCTTTTAAACCTTCACTTTTTTGTAGTTGATGCACTCAAGCAGATTCTTATTTGATTTGCATTTCTCTTTAATATGAGAATCTCAATTGATACACCCATTATCATAAGTTGTGTTGAATGTTTGTGCTCGAAGTGGTGAAATGTGTTATCCGAAAAGCCATAAATTAAAGTAATATGTCTTAGAGCGAAATTCAATTATTTGTGGTAAATTATTATTTTCACACAATTGTGCTGTAGAAAAGGAATAGCCATGGCTTCAAAGATACTGTACAGAGTTTGGAAACAACAAACTGGCCCTGTTGCTTTGTAGCTCTCCCACTGGATCTCTGATTTAAGTACGTCTCGTCTGTTCTTCCGATCGTTGCATCTCTATTTCCCTCATGTATGTATGTGTATATATTTTTTCCATTATTGACCTCTGCCAGTAGTTTTTAATCTTCTCTCTTTCTCTCTCTCTCTCACTCTTCATAGGGGCATTGTGCTATTGACATGTACAACGAGCAGCATCAAACGCCGCTGGTTCTGGCTGTCTCTCAAGGTCATACTGCCATCATCGAAGACCTGATCAAGCACGGAGCTGATATCAACTCATCGGATGGTGATGGGGACAGTTGCCTTCACATCGCGGTGATGAAATATCGACAGGGGCAGGATATTCCTGATACTGATAATCTGAGAACAGTAAATATTCTCAACCTCTTGAATTTTTCATTTTCCATCAAATCATTTTGAATATGATCGCATGGATTAGCAAGAAATTAGCTAAAGGGCCATTTAAAAGACTTTGGTTTTGACTTTATATATCATGTTAGGATTATGTAATATGTAATGTTGTAATATTGTAATGTTTGCGACATGTGGTCCAGGAAATCTGGTATCATGTTCATGTTTGGTGATGTGAAAATATCCTTATAATTTTTACAAATTTACAATGAAGAAATATGGCCTTTTCATTTTTTTAAAATATCATTCGTTTCAATGCATTCAGAGATTACCTCATTGTGGTTTTAATATAATATGGTTGGTTTTTTTAATTCCCTTCTGATTATTCAGTTTGTATGTTAAAAAAATCCAGAAATCTTCAGTTTGTATGCTAAAGAATACATAAATCGTAGAATCTGTTTTAAATATTTTATTCTTTTCTTTTATGGTGTCTTCCAGTTCCGAAAGAAGTATCGTGACAATGGAATTACCAAGCCTCTTACTGCTCTAATGTGTTATCTTGTACAAGAGGGTGCAGACATCAGTCAGACTAATCTCAAGAAACACACACCATTCAACTATCTGAAAGAGGCTGCCGTTCGTAAAGTCCTGGAGCACATCGCTCGCAAGCTGAAGAGGTACAGAAGCAATAAACCAGCTTTAAGTAGGCCACTACTTGCATAGGAGAATAAATTTGTCTGCTTTACGTAATCAGAATGATCAAAGTCATTTACTTTGTGAGACTTTTGCTTCCGAAGTTACGGCAAAGTTTATCAGACGAAAGGTGAAAAAGACTAGTAAGAAAAATGGGAGAATCTTTTGGAATATTCATGGAAGACAACACTCTCAATTGGACAACCCCTCTACGACTATTAAGCTGACTTTATAATTAAACTTCGATATAAACAGAGCAGGCTCTACCCTCCCCATTTTCTCTCAATATGTCTCGTTTTTGTTCTTTCTTCTCTTGGTTCCTCTTGCGTGCCTTCTATTTAAAAAAAAAGTTATTACAAGTAAGATGACAACGGTCAGTGATGTTTGTTATGAGAGTGTACATTTATAAAATCCTAATAAAAATTTGAGGTTGATTTTGCCTTCCGGTTATGTTATATATTGATCGACAAGCAAAACATAAACGACGTTAGAAAAAAAAACTTATTGGAAAACACCACTACTTGCTCTATTTCCCTATTCTTTGTTGCCCATTATTCATAATAGTCTCACAGATTTCCTTAATTTCCCTTTTTGTTAAGATCCAGTCAAGGTTTTGTATGATTTTGTGAAAGTTCCTTTGCTACCATTACCAGAATTCACAATGACTTTTCAATTGGTGTATGTTGTTTCGTTTCAGAGAGGAGCTTGATGACAGCAGCTTAGTTCACGTACAAGCTAATGACGGAGGTCGAGGGAGTAATGCAGACCAACATGATCGTAATGATCCTTCGGAATCACCAAGGGGCTCACTTTCAGGTTCATTGAATGTAGAAATATGGTCTTTATTTTCATCTTTGCTGCTTTATCTCATGAAAATTTGGCCTGGCGTCAATTTAAAAGGAAGCTTCATGTTGATTAATGAAAGAGGAAATTAAATAACAACAAACAGAACAAAATTTAATACGACGCACCTTGTTGCACAATTATAGCAGTGATTTTAAGCCCTTCACACAATATATCATTAAATAATCATTAAATGATCATACAAACACCTTCAATCCTCTCAGAATGAATGCGTTTGTAAAGCCTCTTGATGGAGTAAACCATTAAATAGAGGTGTCTTGTGAATGTCAAGTGGATTGTTACCGTACCATTTTAGTTGAAAGTCACTGTTAACCCAAACTTCGTGTCATCAGTCGTTTCGTTGTTATTTAGTCACGGCATGGTGGCAGCGGTGGGATTACATGCCCTCTGCACGTTACCATGTACCTGTCATAATGAAGGGACTTTCTCTTATACCGAATGGAAATGTGTGCAAAGTCTCTTCAATGGAATTACACAGCTAATTACCCTCGTCGAAATGGAGTGACTTATTCCTTCCTATGTAGTATGGACATTGTGCGTAATGTATCTAAATGATGAAACTACTTGTGTTAGAGTGTGCGAAATGTCCCCCTTAACACTGTACCTTATCCTTTTCATGGAGAAATTACTTGCTCTTATGTACATGTAGTATCGACATGTGTGTAAAATCTCTCATGGAGATCAATGAAGTTATCCCTGTTTTGCAATGGATTGACTTACAATGTACTCATATACATGTATAGCATGGGCATTTGTTTAAAGTCTATCCCATTGCAGATTAGGCAACGTGCCCCCGTCATTATGGAGTAACTTATGTATTGAAAGTCTGTAAAGGAGTCATGTGCACCTTACCCTTGTATAAATGGAGTGACTTACTATTGATATAGAATGGACATGTGTGGACAATCTTTCATAGCGTATATGATCACTCGTAGAGGAAGCTCTTAGTGAAAATTACTTCAATGACTACAATTCCCCTATCTTTATGCGCATGAGAAATTAGCTTGGTCAATTATTAGTTCATTTAAGTACCTTTTTTTCATTCTAAACACTGTTAGATCAAGATTGCGTTTCTGCTACCTGCAAATAAATATTGTTTAACATTTGTTAAAGATAATGTTAAAAGTTCGAAATATTACCACACAATATATTTTGAAGGTGAGCTCAAAAGCATTTAGTTATACTAAAACCAATGGTATTAGTGTATGTAAGCTTTGCTAATTCTGATGCATCTTTTGATTGTATTTTTGTCTTAGATGATTCTTTCTGTGGAGTCCACATCATAAAGGATCCTAAGAATGAGGTGAAGTTGAAAGAAATTATCGGAAGAGGTGGCTTTGGTGAGGTTTGGAAGGGCCAATGGAGAGGTACACCTGTTGCCGTCAAGCTCCTTATCAGGGAGGGTAGTCAAGATTCTGAAGTTGAGCAGGAGGTTGCAGTCCACAAGTACGCTATTCCATCTTCTTTACCAACCTCATATTATATCACTTCCCAATCATGAAACATGAATTCCCTTGATAACACAGATGAAAAGAGAGAGAATTTCATTCCCTTTCCCTCAGACCTCGACCCAAAAGGAAAGATAAATTATAATAACCATGAATCTTGGCAAATAGAGCATGTCATTAGAAATAGACCCATTATTGACATACCTTTTGAAGAGGTGGAAATAGATTATATCACTTTAGTTTGAATAATCTGTACAAACTTAGACTAAGATTTCAACAAACTAAATGATAACAATTTGTAGGGTTTCACTTCAAAAGTAATGCATATTTATAACGTTACCAGCAAATACAATTTTGTTAGTATTTTCATGGCAAATGGAATCGCACATGGAATCGTTCTTTAGTTGTCTTGATGTGAATTGTTTTCCTAAAGAGGTACTGTTAATTTTTAAGTGTTAAGGGGTTGGAAAAAGTGAAAAGGAGAATTTCAAAAGCATTTTGGGGACTCTTATTTTGTCTATGCAGGCGTGCCCTCCATCCAAACATTGTTCAGCTGATGGCGGTTGGCCACCAACGTTCCCCTGGAAATGCTATGATCGTCATGCAGCTCATCGATGGGAGTAATCTCAGTACAGTCATCTTTCAGGTATGAACAAAATATATTAGACCACATTAAAATGATGACCATACCGATGAGTGTTACTGCATGACATTATCAATTCTGTAGTGTCAAACAATCTCTACATAGGCAGATTTATTTAGCAATATGATGTTTTCTTTCAGTCATACAAATACCAATTTTTATGACGGAAATATTATGAATCAATTCTACAAGAACTCATTCCAAGGACATTTACCCATGGACAGCTACCCACCAAACCCTCAGTCAATCGCCCTACTAGGACAATTATCCTGGACAAGCACCTGTTAATTACCCCCCTACTTGTCTGAGGAACAAGATTAGTGGGAGCCGACTGGATACGTGTCTGAAGAGGAAAGATGAAGATGAACTGATTAGATGGGCAGCGAGAGAAAGGAAAAAGACAAGAAGAACCAGGAAGTGGTGGAAAGATTGTATTAAGGAAGCTTGAAAGAAAATTGACTAGGACATGGCTACAGACAGGACGAGATGGATAGCGCCAATAAGGAGACCTACCCCCCCCCCATAGAGGGGATCACAGGATGATGATATTAATGATGATTGACGATGTATGAGGGTAATATGGAAAATTTTCCGTAGAGGTAGTTGACTAGGGATAGAGTAATTCAGAGGTATTATTGTCTTATGGGTACTTGCCCTTAAATGATTTTCTCTGGAAAGTTATCCCTTTGCACATTTATATAATTCTATAATCTTTAATTACCCTCCAACCCTTCTATGAAATCTTGTTGCAGGATGGTAATCCTTATGAATTCATGCAGAAGGTACAATTATCTAGGGATCTTCTGTCAGCTGTCACCTTTCTCCACCACTGTAAGATACTCCATCTCGACATCAAACCACAGAATATAATCGTAAGTTTCATATTTTCATCACCTCTCTATCTCTAGGTCACATTGTCTTCCTCACTTCCTTAGACCCTTGCCTCCATTTCTCTCTCTCTCTCCCTCTCTCTCTTAATGTAAGCCTCTATCATTTTATCTCTCTCCGTCTAGTCTCCCTTACTCTGTCTTTTATCCCATGATACATCCCGTCTGGGCAAGAACGTAAATTGTTGAGAGCCAGGAGGGCATTATTATCACCCATTTCATTTTAATATGTTACCATTTTTATTCTAAAACGTTATGTCAAATTTTGTTTGATTCATGGAGGATGTGAATAAAAATATATTTGAAAGCTGGCATTTTTTAGACACAAATTGTAAATACCAACATCATAAAAAGTTGTTTCGGTGATGGATACAACATTGCGGCATATTCATCTATGTGAATATTCTTTTTACAAGCATCACCAAATTGATCTGTTTGTCCCCCGTCCTGTACGCTCAGGTTGAATCAAAGACGAAGAAGCCATATTTGTGTGACCTTGGTCTTGCGCACATCAAGACGAGGTCAACTATGTCACTTGCAACCAACGTGCCTGCCAGAGGTACATTCATGTACATGCCACCTGAATGCTGCATATCTGTAGATGGTAACATGTCCGCCACATCGGCATTCGATGTCTGGGCCTTAGCCTGTACGTTCCTTGAGTTTTTCTCGGGAAAACACATCTGGCCCAGGACCATCACTCAAATGGCTCTACTCCGTAAGTTCATGGGCGCTGATGTCGTGCCAGCCAGTGTGGAGAAACTCAAACCAAACATTAAGAAGATCGTGAAGCCATGCTTTCAGAAAGAGCCATCTAAACGTCCGTCAGCGGAATCGATGATGCAGCAGTTCAGTGGGCTGATGTGAACAACTTTTACCCGTAAGGCTCGTTCAGATATGTCCCTTTTAAACTGCCGTGGTATTCACTTGTAAATGAGTGACAACTGCGCCATCAATTTACCTGTGCGTTCTTACTGAACTATGTGTAATAAGATACAGAAATGTGAAGCATATCATTGCACTTTACGTTTCCATAAAGAAGAAATACAGCAGTTTTGCGGAGTCATAACCGATCGAGGCTTATATTATTTCGTCAATTTACTACCATACATAGAATGCATACTTGATCACTTTAGTTGCATTGTGAAATTAATAATTCTCCACAATATATATATATTTTTGTTATCATAAACAAGAATTATATCGGCCACGCAATTGATAGTACTCCCTTTTTCCAGAGTTGTGAGAATTAACCATTAGAATTTCATTTGATTCTAGTCAACAAAGTACTACCTATTACCAACCGAGACTTCTGTGGATAATTTTTCTGCATACGTGAAATATTAATCAAGTACTACCAGTAAAGATCGCTCCATTGTGTTAGTATTTCTCACAGCTTTTCACCACGGGTTTTGAAATAGATTCGAAATAAACTTAAACAAAGGTAATGGACAGATGAGCGGGTGCCTCCTATTTCACAATTCGTGATGGACGCTGTGCCATGAGATTTGTATTGTCAAGAGTGATTCGATAGCTTTGCCTTTAGCCATTAAAGTTTCTGTATGGTTTTTATTATAGAATTTTAAGTATTTTTATACCTACTCGGTAAACAACTCATAGCTTTCATTCCTTCCTTTTGATGTCATCAATTCAACATTATACACAAAATATCACCACGTTTCAAACTTAAAAACAGAGACAGTAATTTGACAATCATTATAAAAAGCAGCATTATTAATTGTCCTCGATCAATAGGTGCATTGGCGTTAGAGTTGTATGATATCATGTCTGAAAATATGAACTCTTGTGATTGGTCCGAGATTAGTTTTTTTTTTTAGGCACTGAACTAGACCACATCTATTAATTGCATGATGTTTTACATGTTACTAAAGTTAATTACTGTCAATTTCCAGTTCACCCATTTGTTTATAACATGGTATTTCCATTCTAATATTGCTAGAATCAAGTAATTTTTATATTACTCAGAGCCTGCTATCCACCTGTTCTTGTATGCATTACATGTAATAAACTTCTGATAGAGTTCGCTTATATGTCGGTTGAAAGTACCTATGTTTGATGTAAAACTTACCATACCCTATTATGAAACAGTACAACACTTTCAGATAAATAATGAATAACATAATATATCAGAATTGTATTATGTATGATATAAAATATATGCTTTACTTCCATGGTTCGGTTTGATCTAAGAGTTTTTGAATATTCTCATATTTATTTATATTGTTTCAAAATGTACACACTGCAAATAGTTTTGTATGTACTTTTCCATTTGTTAAGAGGCTGTAACATATGTCTATCTAGTTTTTTATATGACAATATCTCTCTGTTGATTTCGGAATCTCTAATTACCTTATTCTTATTTAGTAACTAAAACATTTGTATCAGCAAGGTTTATAATGTGACAAACATACTCTTTCTGATAGCATATTGCCTTTGAATGTACTGGATATATTGATTTGTGATTACCAAGACTTTGTTTTATGGTACTTTTGAAAATGTATAGGCCTATATTCCAGAAATGTTAAAGTAACTGCTTGTATATTTAAAAATATATATTTTATTCGTTTGTGTAGAGTATGAGATTTTACACTTTCTCAAAGATATACAAACAGTTGCATATAAATTTACAAAGTATCTCTTTTGATGGCCCATAATTCCTCTTTGGTTCAGTGTACTTACATTTTAAACAAACCGAAGTTGTTATATTACATTGCATTATATTGGTATGTATTGTATTGTTATAAGATACGCCAAACATGTTGATAATGACTTGATTAACTTCCAATGTAAAAAATAAATAGGGTAAATTTCTCATTTTTTCAACGTTTGTAATAGATTGTAGATATAATTGGAGATTTTTTAAATACATAATTCCAATATGAATTTAGGTAACATGTTAGATGATTCTTGAACTTTTATACAGAGCACGTGTATTCGAAGACCTCTTATATAGGAATGTCTGTTAAAAAACGCTACTAATTGGTTGATGTCACGTCCGTTCGTTTTGTTTTGTTTACTTATAACAAATCTGTTGACAATGCTACTCGTTCGGCAGTCAAAATAAAATTGTACCTATATTTTGTTTAAAGAAAAATGTGTACAGTATTCTAATTGTGGGAGTGAAGGAAGCTAGCTCATTGAACTCCTCCTTACACACACACACACACACGCACTCTCACACGCACGCACGCACGTACGCACCAACGCACACGCACCCTTACCCTCAGTCATAGCATGTGTTTGCAATAGTGAATAGTATACAGAACTGCAATTTATTTTTATATTCCTTTTATGAACCACTGTTCACTGACAGATATAGTCATTGCAAGTCGATTTATAGTGCAGCGGCTTAGCAAGAAAATTGTGCACTTTTTGAGAAAAGCATGAAAATTCCAGCATAGTTTGCTTTCACCATAAGATTTATTTTCAGATGTGGAGGGAAATCAGATTTGACCTCTGATGACCCTGAGAGGTCAAATCCAAAATGGCCGCTAGTCCGCATGGTCTAATGTACAAACACGCTTAACTTTTGAACCAAATACACCAGAAAAACGTTTAAGGTGTCATTTCCAACTAACTTGGGGATGCCAATTCATTTGGTAATACTTTTGAGATCACATGAACTCAGGGTTTTGCATTAAGGTCAAGTTCAAGGTCAAAATTGACTAAAAATAGCAAGTTTTGAATAGTTACAAAAGGTTAAATCTCATTTATTTGTCATTTGTTCTCAAATTTATTTAGGAATGGTTCACCTGCATAGTCCGCCACCTTAATCCTTTTCAGGTGGTTTATTTCACAGTTTAGTTTGACCTCTGATGACCCTGAGAGGTCAAATCCAAAATGGCCGCCAGTCCGCATGGGCTAATGTACAAACGCGGTAACTTTTGAACCAAATAGTCCAGAAAAACGTTTAAGGTGTCATTTCCAACTAAATTGGGGATGCCAATTCATGTGGTAATACTTTCGAGATCGCCAGAACTCAGTGTGTTGCATTTAGGTCAAGTTCAAGGTCAAAATTGACTAAAAATAGCAAGTTTTGAATGGTTACAAAAGGTTAAATCCCCATTATATGTCATTTGTTCTCCCCTATGTTCTTAAATTTATTAAGGAATGGTTCCCCTGCCGAGTCCTCCACCTTAATCCTCTTCAGTTACTTTATTTCACAGTTTGATGTGACCTCTGATGACCCTGAGAGGTCAATTCCAAAATGGCAACCAGTCCGCATGGTCTAATGTACAAACGTGAACTTGAACCAAATAGGCTAGAAAAACGTTTAAGGTGTTATTTCCAACTAACTTGGGGATACCAATTCATTACGTAATACTAAGAGATCGCCAGAACTCAGGGATTTGCAATAAGGTCAAGTTCAAGGTCATATTAGGTCAAAAAAGTGATTTTTTTTTAATTAAAAAAAAAAAAAAAAATTTGCCTCTATTTTGACACTTAAGGGGTCATTATTTTATAAATTAATAAACAGACTCGTGTACCACCACTTTGACTATCCAGGGCAAAATTGTATAAAGCTGCTTATCGGCTGGTTCTGTGCTTACGTATGAGTTTCTACTTCATAGCACTGCTTACCGTAAGCACACGAAAGTGGATTAACCTTACGCTGCTTACTGGACGAAAATGAATTTTGTAACAATGCACATTCATTGTGAACGCACAAGGTGGACGCCTTGTTTTCTTGCTAACCAAATTTGTCTGCTACAGTTATAGCACGAAAATTTGCAAAAAAGCTATTCCAAATACGACCTAAAACCTGTTCATTACCACAGCTATAGATATCCACATGTATTTAGCACTGTCCACAACTTATGAATATCATAATGGTAACGATCAAAATCTAACAGTCTCCAGAACAAGAGCACAATATTCAGTGCATCCTTTCTTGCAGCGACAGTGGATTATTCATGGCACAATTTTGATGCTTCCGGGAGAGTGGTCCAAAAAGGCTGCCACCCAGTTTCGTTTGTCCAGCCTAAGTCAGATGGCTCTGGCATCTCTGGATTCTTGGCCAATATCTGGTTCCAACAGTTGGCCTGGTAGCAAGTGCGCTTGAAGTGCCGCTTGAGTGCTGCCTGGGTTGGAGGAATGTTCTCCAGGTTTCTAGACTTCTGTGCAAAGAGCTGTTTCCTGGCATCATTCACTAGGTATGCTCTCGCTGGTTCGGTCGTATCAGCACCACAAATCGCTCTGGCAGTAACATTGATCCTTCACTGACCGCCCTAGGCATGTACAGGAGTTCACTGAAGGAATCATTCACCCCTGGAAAAGACTTCTAAGTTTTTCCTCTGAATGCAGAAACAGTGTGACACCCGGTGAACGCATGAAAGATTGGGAGAGGCATACATCGTGTCGGACTCATGGTGGCGACCATCATGATTTTGTGAAAAGCTATGTACCGAAAGCTTGATCTGACACCAAAAGCGATCCAGCATCAGGAGCTGTCTTGCTGAATGAAGCCACGGCCAGTTCAACCGCATCAGTACCAACAGTACTTATGGTTACCCTTTTACACCCATGGGGCAAGGCCTACCAAGTGTGACTCAGCAGGAGAGCAGAGTACTCCACTTCCATCTGTTGCATATTATACAGTTCCTTGCCCTGTGGTAGAGGAAGATGAACGACTTCGCATGACATGAAATCAAACAATTCGGTTTTGTTCTCATTGACTCGAAGGAAGTCCTTCAAGCTTTTTGGCAGCAAAGTAGAAGGAGCCACCCTTTTCCTGGTGCCCTTTCCCCTTTCCTGCCTTATTGAGGCTTTCAGGCTAGCAGGTAAGTATACACCCTAGTCAAGGTCGATGCGGATGCTTTTCTCGAGTTGAGCAAAGATGTATGGGACAAACACTCTTTCTCCATACTCTTGAAGTGTTCTTGATGTTCCAGGATTGAGCATTTGAACCACAGCTTCACCATCAATAATTATTGCTTGGGCCACAGGTGCACTATTGTTTTCGAGCAGATTTGATTCCAGGCAGCGAAGTAGATCTGCTTGAACTCCAAATCGCATTTTACTCCAGTTAACATGCAAAGCTGGCGGGGTTGCCTGGTTTTCA